TTATGTTTCTGCTTTGAGTTTGAGAGAATTCAACAGCATAAAAGTATATAGCGTCCCAAGCTAACACACTAGCCACAAGCGGACATGCCAATAACAATACAGCGATACGCTGCAATCCTATACGATAAAACACTATATACTGTGATAGAAATTAAATACCTTGCAGAGCAATTTGATTTAATACGACACAATTCAATACAATGAAATATGCTGTGACATATTTAGACATGGTACGATACAATATGCTGCGATACTGTTTGACACTATGCAGTACGATATAACACAATACGATACGCCGCAATAAAATTTCATATATGATTCAACACTGAGCTGATATACAATACAATCCAATACGCTGCCATACATTACATGTATACAACACTCTGCAATGCAATCCGATGCAATACAATCCGATATGTTGCGACACAATACATTACAATACATTGCGAAACAATCCGATACGATGCAATTCACAACGACAAAAAATACTATACGATATATTGTGATAAAATCCGATACAATGATATACAACAATACACAATACGATGCCTTATGATAAAATCTGACAATTCAACAAGCTGAAACACAAGACCATATGATGCAATACGACTTGATACACAATTCAAAACAATACAATACAATATGCTAAAATTTTATACAATCCAATAAGCTGCAATGCAATACTATACGATGCAATATGACTTGATACGGCGCAATTCATTACAATGCATAGCATTACAATAAAATAAGGTACACAATGCAATATAATAGGCTGTGATACAATTTAACACAAAACGATACAATTCAACAAAATACGATATGAGGCTATAAAATACAGTATAATATATGATACAACACCACATGCTGAGATACAGTGAAATGCAATGTGAACACCGGATAAGTTACAATAAGGTACATTAAGATACACTGCGATACAATCCGATACGCTGTCAGTTAATCTGACTGCAGCGCTACATCCTTAACCTAATTACGCACATGTGTACACTAAACTCACGGGTCATTTTAAATGTAAACTCTCACACGGACACTCCGAATGCCGCTCTCCAGCCCTCTGGACGAACCCTCTGTCATGTCTAAAGTCCCAGGAGCGCTGACGGAGGAAGAAAGATAAAGAATAAAGGAGTGTGATAAGGCGATAAGCGGCGAACGAAGAGAAGTAAAGAAGGAAAAGCGAAAAAACTGCAGCATAAATCATAAACATTTCTAACAGCGGCCCACATGGAAGCTGAAATATGCAGGCTATCTCCCGTCAGCTCGCTCAGAAACATCCAAATTAGGGCAAAACACTCGACACACACACACACACACACAGACACACACAGACACACACACACCAACACACACACCCTGTGAACCCTTCAGGAACACTTTGCATGACAAAGGAGAAGCAATTCTGACGCAAACATCTGCAATAAACCACTGGGCGCACGTCCAGACCAACTACACTCACTCATTTCTGTGTGTTTAAGTGCAGTTTTGGTGGATTCGCCCTTTTCCCACGTTACTTTTACTCAGACTCTGCGACACGATCGTATCACTATCGTGACAAATCACCAAGATAAGCTTATCTGAGCGCATCTCAAGGTTCATCAATGCTTAAAGAACACTGATAAGCTGCATGTTTCAGTACAAAGAGATCCAGAAAGTGCAACCAACTTCTGTGACTGAACTTTGGATGTTCACAGATTTCTGTGAGGAACTGAAAGCAGGTCTGACACTGAAATAGGCCAGTAGTTGTAGTTCATTTTCTACTGAATATACTCTATAGAGAACCAAAGCTCTACCACAGTAGCAGAACTATCCTTGGTTGCTATCTAGAACAATAATTTTCTATATACAACAGGTTCTCCATTGTAGAATAGAGGCATTTGACTATGCACAGAACCATTTATGCATTTAAAAGTTGACAGTTCTATGTGTAAGCACTGCCTTTAATTGGGAACCCTTGAAGAACCGTATTTAAGAGTGTAAATAAGACATGTGAGTGTGAAGAACCTTTACTTTAGACCAAATGATCCAGAAAAAGAGGAACACAGCATTCAGTTCCAAAACTAAGTCTATACTTAGTGTTTAATTAAAACTTCATTTATTTAGAAATTATCTTTTTAATTTATTTAATTTATTGATTTTAAATTAATTCCTGTAATTTCTTCTCGGAAAGCACTTCAAGCTGCCACCGGCATGAAAAGTGACATATAAATGAAGATTATTATTATTATTGTTGTTGTTGTTATAATAATAATAATAATAATAATAATTATTATTATTATTAATATCATCATCATTATTATAATTATCATTATTATTATATACAGTTTCTCATTTGCTGGCTTCTCATTTTAATTTCCTGTTCCACCTTAAATGGTGCAGCTGTACATTCTGTCCTCCAGACCGTCACAGCTTCGCCATTTAAGGCGGAACGGAAAATTCAAAAAGACAAGCCAGGTTTTATTGGTTCTCACATTGTTTTTTGCTACTTTTTCCTTCTTCTTTAGTCGTCACTCCAGTGACGTAACAGCGCTTTTACCGAAGGCTGGGTTTTTGCCCCTCCAGCCGTGGCGTATACAGATTCCTGACACTCAGGTTTGGCTAGTTTTGAGGCTTTTAAAGAACAACAAAAGGCAACGAAAGAGCAACGGCAGCCACGATTCAGCCCGTTTGAACACTACTAACGTTTCAGAAACACACCGTTCACTCCCCAGTCCATACAGCCCATATCTGGACATAATATATACCAAAACAGCCTGTTTTTAATTCACTGCTTTTGTGATGTCACAAGTACCTAATTTACATATATCGACCTGTTCAGCCTAGAGTAGTTTACTCACATCCCCTCATGCAGAAGTTATAAGGAGTGTTTCAGCTCTGAGTGATGTTGCATGAGGCACAGCCAATCAGAACAGAGCTCATTTACATACTTTAGTCTTAAAGGCACAGTAATCACTAGTAATTAAGACTTTAGCCCTAAATGCCTGTTACTGTGAGGTGTAATCAGAGTGATTCAGAGCGGTTTGGTGTGAAATGGTTCGGATGTCTTTACAGTGGTGCTAATAGGAACCAGGGGTCGCCATGACTACAACACAAATATAGACATTTTATTTACTATCCAAACCACCAGTGAACCTACACGAGTCTTCTGAGTTTATATGGAATGTTGATGATGGAAAATAATGGCACAAATTATTTGGGGACTATTTTGCCTCACAACGCCCTGCACGTATCCCTCCACCATGAACAGATTTGAAAAACATAAAAGTTTTAGACCAAAACTGTCTCAAAACTATCTGAAAACAGTGTCTCAGACATCGGGCAGTGTATACACTATGAGGGAGCTTTTAGAGGTGGACGCCTGGTTCCTATCACCGCCACTGGGAACTATTCTGAGCATTTTACACCAAACCACTCTGAATGCATTATTCAAATTTTCTAAATTTCTGTATAATTAAGTGGTTAAGATGTAAACAGAGTCATTCAGAGTGGTTTGGTGTGAAACACTCTGTTCTAGAGAAACTTACCGAGTCAGAATTGTTCCCAGTGGTGGTGATAGGAACCAGACGTCCACCTCTAAAAGCTCCCTCACAGAAAGTTACTACATGAAATGGTTATGAATTCACTGCCTGATGAAATGATGAGACACTGTTCTACTAAGGTTTTGCGGTAAGAATTTGGCCAAAAAAGGTTTAATTTTTAACCTCTATTCATGATGGAGGAATACATGCAGGGAGCTGTGAGGCAAAATAGTCCCCAAAGATTTTTTTTTCAATATATATCACTATATTTATCATCATCAACATTCCATATAAACTCAGAAGACTCGTGTAGGTTCACTGGTGGTTTTGGATGGTAAATAAAATGTCTATATTTGTGTTGTTATCACTGTGACCCCTGGTTCCCATCACCACCACTGTAAAGACATCTGAGCTGATATGCTTCTCTACACTGAATCATCTCACACCAAACCACTCTGACTGGCTTTGTTTACATCTCAGTGATTGAATCATACAGACATTTTGAAAAAAATGGGTGGAATTCCCCTTTAAAAGCGTCCCGAGTCCATGAAACAACATCTCTCACACACAAAACACAGCGCCGGTCGTGTTACCAATTCTCAGTAATCCACAAAAACGAGGCTAAGTGCACTCCGTACAAAATAAAAGTCCCCTAAGGCCACTTAACGTGCTAAACCACATTAAAATCTGCTGGTTCCTGCTGACAGATCACATGAAAAAAAAGAGAGAGAAAAAGAAAACAATGAGTCAAGCAGGGTTAGAAACGTTTTCATGACAAACAGACCGAGTTAATGTGCAGCCACAACATGCAGCAAAGTCACATTAACAACTACCTGGGTCAGATATGGAAAAATAAAATAAAACAACTTGGTTAACTTTGTTAGGATGCACACTGAGCTACTGCACTGATATAAACAGAGCACTAAATCACTAAAGTACAACTGCACTTTTATTTTAAACGAGCATTAATGGGCTGAATTTTCCATTCCACCTTAAATGCTGCGGTTAAAAGTCCTGTTTCTTCTGTTTCTTTGTTCCAATCCTACGAGGATAAAGTCAGCTACTTATTCGCCACCGTCTTGTTCGAATTTGCCCGTTCCACCTTAAATGGTGAGGGTAACTGCTGCAGCGTTTAAGGTGGAACGGGGAAACTCGAACACGAAGCTGGCGAATAAGAAAAGCAAGACAACTTCAGCCTCAGCTTTGGCTAAAAAAGCAGCATTTCAGGCATTTCTGGAGCATGAAAGCTGAATATGCAAGTTTATTTAAACAAAAGCCCCACTCGCCAGTACAGCCTAAAGTTGTAAATTCCCAAATTCCCGATATTCCCGAAGAATTCCAAAGCAAACTGGAAGAGGTTAGAGGTTACCGTATCGTCCTATACGTCTTCGTGTTTCAGTTTAACAGCTCTAAGTGGAGGGGAAAGAGGGAAAAGTGCTGGGATAAGTTCAGAAAGCCATGTTTTCCCACCTGTGTGTGTCCTGTGTTGTTGTCTCTCTTCCCTCCTCTTCTTCTCTTCTTTCTGCTTCACAGCCGGAGCAGAACACAGGCGGAGCTCATCTTAATCACGAATATTTCACCTTTATCCTCTTCGGAGCGCCGCTAAAACATCCTCTACGGAAAGCAGGAGTGTTTTAAGACTGCAGAGCGTCGCTGGCGCACACTAACGTGCTGAGGAGAGACGGATAAAGGCGGAAGGAAGGAGAGAGGATTTGTTTGGGTTCATTTACCTGGAGAAGCCAATGGGATAAAACTGGCGGTGAAAGCGCGACATCTGGCGGCGGCCGCGCGGCGCTGCAGCCAGCCCGGTTAGGATTACAGCCATAAAACAAAGATGAGCTCGAGGAGAAAAAAACTTTGTTGTTTCTGTTGAAACACTGGTTACAAACATCGTCACACAAACATTCGAGCATCCCAACGAGAAAGATTATTGATATTTTTTATTAATTTCCACATTTCTATCATGTTATGATGTTGTAGGTATTTAACGTAACATATTGTTTGTTTGTGCTTCACCGAAAGTTCCGTCCATAAATCACTCAGAGCATCATGGGGAGCAGAAATATACGGAGCCCTGCTGGTGATATCCTGTGTAAATAAAAATAATGCGTGGCCACGCCTTATTAACGCGTGGGAACGAGATCCTAATGCGTGGCCACGAGTTAGTAAGGTGTGGGAACGAGATCCTAATGCGTGGCCACCACGTAGTATGGCATGGGAACGAGATCACAGCCTACTAAGTCGTGGCCATGCATTAGGATCTCGTTCCCACGCTTTACTAAGTCGTGGCCACGCATTATTTTATTTATACAGGATGTCACCAGCGGGGCTCCGTAGAAATAAGGCTGCAAAAACAGTTTCTGTTTTTGCAACGTTTACATATGCACACCAATCAGAACAGAGCTCATTTACATATATCAGTCTTAAAGGTACAGTAAAACAAAACTGTTTATTTGTGTAATCACAGTATAATCACAGCGGAATCACAGTATAATTATGGTGTAATCACAGTGTAATCACAGTACCATTCAGTAACTACTATGTATTATTCAGTATCTACTGTGATCTATGCAAATAAACTGTGTGAACTCTCAGCATTTAAGGATTAGATAATGGATTAATGTCTAATTTAATCCAGGTCTGCTGGATCATTTACTGATGTGCTCAATGCTCTGTTTTGCAGTTATAGAAATCTCTCCTGTTGTCACAGGAAGTTTGTTGGTACTTTACACATTTTGTGTTTTCACTTCTGTTTCAGTCAGAATTCAGTCTGTGCTGAAAGCTCGGATTCCAGTTACAGCGCAAACCAGTTCAGCCAGTGATCACTTAAAGAGGAGAAGTTAAAGATCCTGAACTGATAACACAGCGTCTTTCACTGATCACAGGGCTGCACAACATGGACCATGTTACTACTGTGATTACACTGTGATTATACTGTGATTACACTGGGATTGTACCATGATTATACTGTGATTAAACTGTGATAACTACTGTGATTACTACTGTGATTACACTGTAATTGTACTGTAATTACACTGTGATGGTACTGTGATTACAATGTAATGGTACTTTGACTATGCTGTGATTATACAGTGATGGTACTATGATTATACTGTGATTACACTGTGATTATACTGTGATTACACTGTGATTATACAATGGTGGTACTGTGATTACACTGTGATTACGCTATGATTACACCATGATTATACTGTGATGGTACTGTGATTACACTGTGATGGTACTATGATTATGCTATAATTATACTGTGAATACACCATGATTATACTGTGATTACACTGATTATACTGTGATTACACTGTGTTTATACTATGGTTACACAGTGCTTATTATTATTGTTGCAAATGTGATACATTTTGGAATATATTAGAAACAAAATGGTAAATCAATAATGGTTAACGATTCACTATTCTGACCAAAATTTACTTCTATTGGACTACCAGGGTACCCTGATTGACCAAAGACCCACAGGGACTGATCTGGAGCTCTGATTGGTCAGAATGCATAAATGAGCAGAAGAGCAGGTGAATGCAGACCTTTGGACAGACACAGTAAGTGGCTCTTAATTATGGTGATGTTTTTGAAGCACGTCACATCACATGCACTCCTCCTCCGCAGCTCGTCTCCTCCACAGGACTTAATTACAGTTTACACCACTTATAATCCTTTTTAGTCCAGGCTTAATTATAATCTGGGTTTTGGAAAACAGTCTGCAGTAAAAACTGTTTGGTGCTGAAAATAAGACGACCGGGAGAAACCCAGCTTCACGGCCATAATGAAGGCGGAGGTGTTTATTTAGAGAACACTTTACAGAAACCTCAGTGGATCCTGTCGTTCTGCTGGACTGAAGCTCTTACAGAAACATAGCAGTCACCAGTAGAGGGAGCACTTCCACTAAGTGGCCACTTTATTAGAAACATCTACCCTGTGCTTCCACTAAGGGACCACTTTATTAGAAACACCCACCTTGTACTTCCACTAAGTGGCCACTTTATTAGAAACACCTACCTTGTGCTTCCACTAACTGGCCACTTTATTAGAAACACCTACCTTGTGTTTCCACTCACAGGCCACTTTATTAGAAACACCTGCCCTGTGTTTCCACTCACAGGCCATTTTATTAGAAACACCTGCCCTGGGTTTCCACTTACAGGCCACTTTATTAGAAACACCTACCTTGTGCTTCCACTAACTGGCCACTTTGTGGACTTTTCATTCAAATAAAACAGAACTCTGTTAATTATATAAGGTTGGTTTATTTATTATACAAGTACAAAAATGTTTTTTTTTTCTTTTACCACAGTTATTATTTTTACACCATCGGCCAAATTCTCCAGCCTGAACAGCAAATTACAACTCCATGCATCACTGAAGAGGAATTAATGTAATTAAGGCACATTATTAGAAGAAAAAATGACTCGTATAAAATATGTGCACCAGTACAGAGAATAAACAACGCTGATAAGTTACCACAGACCTGTAGTGAGTTCTTTAAAAAAAGAGGTAATTACTCCTAATTACGCCTAATAACCAACGTACGTATAATCTCATCATCACTTTCACAAATTTTCCTGATTTTCCTGTCAATTGAAACACACACACACACACACACACACACACAGAGACACAGACACAGACACACACCCAGACATAAACACATGTACATGGTTTGGTTTTGGTTTAAAACAGTGCAAAAATCACACAAATAAAGACAGACAGTGAAATACTGTGTTGCTTTAATAAATGTCATTAAATCTCAGGCTGTATCTCAAACTGCTCCCTGCTCCCTCTGTAGTGCACTAGGTCGCATATTTACAACCAGTGTTGGTAGTAACACGGCATAGTGTGTTACAGTAACATGATTAAATTGTTCCTGTAATGAAATGAAATTAAATGCATTATGTTATGTTACTGATGCAAAGGGCAACTTCACATCGTTCAACATTTCTCAAGGATCAAACTGCTAAAGTTCTAGACGTCCACCTCTAAAAGCTCCCTCACAGAAAGTTATTACATGAAACGGTTACTAGTACGCTGTCTGTTGTCTGAGACACTGTTTTACGATAGTTTTGGCCTAAAATCTTTCATTTCTAAAACACATTCATGGTGGAGGGATACATGCAGGGTGTCATGAGGCAAAATAGTCCCCAAAGGTAACGTATTATTTCAGATTTTCCACTATTTTCCATCATCAACATTCCATATAAACTCAGAAGACTCGTGTAGGTTCACTGGTGGTTCTGGATATTAAATAAAATGTCTATATTTGTGTTGTAGTCATGGCGACCCCTGGTTCCTATCAGCACCACTGTAAAGAGATTCAAACCATTTCACACCAAACCACTCTGAATCTCTCTGATTACAGTGGGTCATTTACACCAAATTCCTCAAAGTTGTTAAGTTTGGGGCTGTAATGTTTCTGTTTTTCTGTTTTTTAATGATTAGCTGCTAAAAAGAAATGTCTCTGGATTCGGACGCTGGGGCACCTCCTGCTGGGCTTACGGCCTTTGTTATTTTGACCCTGCATCCCTTTTCAGAATTAACTGATTAAATTAAAAATATATTGAATAACACTGATCCTAACCCTTAAGTAACAAACTATTTCGCTTCCTGTTTTGAAATATATGACCCCAACCATACATGCACTCGTGAGCTCCTGCTGGTGTGGGTTTCCTCACTCTCAATAATGCACAAATACGCCCCCTTGTGGAAAATGTGAATCAGAGAAAATGAATTAGCTGTACATTTCACAAAATTTGCATTAAAATACAAACATTTTACATGCACCTTTTTGTTTTTTCACACCTAAAACAACCAACTGTTCCAGTTATTTATTAATCTTTATGTCGTTTTTTCTCACTGCTGCAGCTTTTTAATTTGTGTTGCAACTCCTGCCACATTTGTAGCACCAGCACTGCCTGCTCAAAAACCTTACATACAGCCAGAGAACTTGTAGAGAGGAGAATTCCCACTCTGTAATGTCTTCTGGGTTTCTCAAACGCTAGAGGGCGCTCCCGAGCAAGTCCAAAATGAATGGGTTAAGATGGAGCATTTGAGCAAAATCATAGTTTATAAATGCTGAAACATTTTTATTGTAAAAGAATTCATTCATTTCCTGAACACAGAGCAGCATAAAACATTTTAACACTGCCGTTATATTTTTAAGAGCTTTTAAACTCGAGTTATAGGAGTTTAAAACAGCACCTCATGTACGTTCATGACATCTGTGAGCATGAACAGCCAATGAGCTGCTCTGCTGACCAACCAATCAGCACTCAGTATCAGTAAGGTTAGCCTTCTGCTGCCCAAAACCCGTTTGCTGTAGAAAAAAGGAAACATACAGGTGAGATTTCTTTGTTTTTTTAGTGAAATCCATCCTTCTACTTTCTAAAATTAAAGAAACGTTCTGGGCGAGAGATTAGAAACTATTTTAACTTTTCGTTTTTAGCCGTTGAGCTCCATTTACTCCCATTCATTGAGGACTCGCTCGATGGCGCCCTCTGCTGTTCAGCCGTCCTTTTTTTGATATAATGGGGGAAATAGGAAGCGGCCAGGCTCCTCATAAACTTTTGAGATTCAGACTTAATCTGACTGAACTGAGATAACTGTAGTGTATTTCTGAAACACTGTTTACACACACAGACACACACACACACACACAGATACACATTTAAGACAAATAAAAAAGT